TCGAGCATACTTAAATAACAGATTTCGCAATAAGTGGATTGGCCGAGGAGGGCCACCTCGTTCACCAGATTTAAATCCGTTAGATTTTTGGTTTTGGGGACATTTAAAACAAATTGTTTATTCTGAAGACGTTCAAAATGTGCAGGATTTGAAGAATAAAATTAGTAACGCATTTGACACAGTAAAACAAATTCCTGGTATCTTTGAACGCATTAGAAGTTCATTTAGAAAACGTATCCGTTTGTGTTTAGAAGTAAATGGTGCGCATATTGAACATTTATTATGACATGAATCTTTTCCAATTTGTTAAATATTCGTTGTTTTTATGCTGGTTGAACGATTTTCTTCGACAATCTTTGTTACTTGTTTTGTTAAATTATTAATGAACTGTATTAATTAACTTAATATTATCTTATTATTTATTAAACTTTATCTTAACCATCGTAACCATGGTAATCATATAATTACTGCATCTAAATCGTTAGAATTAATGATGTTTACAATAGGTCAGCTTATGAAACTAAAACTTTGAATATCTCGAAATTGGTCCATTTTCGGACCAATGTTTTTTAGACTTTTCTTGTCTGTTTTCGATCAGAGAATACGCTGATGCAGTATTGTACAATCGTTGCGGGACACCCTGTATAATACAATAAAGTATACTAATGTTGTATTTAAGCTCATAATTGTGAGTAAAAAAGTTTCAGATTTTCACATTTCGTAACTATACTGTATAAGAATAAATGTATTCGAGAAAAGTGCAATTATGCGTTTCAATAAATAATTAATCTTTAATATACAATCAACGTCAATGACAAGTAGCTAAAAATAAACAAACCTTGGAACATTATTAATAACTCATCCTTTTTGGAAATAATTTTAATTAAAATAAACGCCGACTGTTTTTATGAAAGCCAATTGCATAAGTAATAGTGGCTAGATTTATCTATAACAATAAAATAATATCTTAAAGTTAACAGTAACACAATTTTAAAGCAAGTGTTACTGGTTAAGTATAAAAAACAATTCGTATAATTTGGTAAATAATTCGCGGATTAGTAAATGTCGTTTTTTTTGAAGAAGTTTTGAGTCGATTGTTGGGTCGATAGAGGAGTATTGGTTAAGAATGAGAGATTTTGGAACGAAATATTTTCCGCATTGCGTACAAAATTTAGCTATGCATTGAATTTTAGTAATAAACCAAATAATTTTTTTTTCAGGTCGGATGGTACCGAATCTCCAATTCTTGAAGAAAAAGAGACCGGAAACACCGAAAAACCAAAGCAGTTAGTTAAATATGGAGAATTAGTTATATTAGGGTACGTTCAGTAAATTTGTTTTCGATTAAATTTTACTTCTGCTGGACTTAAAGTACATTTCTTAAAACAGTTATAATGGATTTCTTCCAAACGGCGATAGAGGCAGAAAGCGAAGCAAATTCGTTTTGTATAAAAGACAAAAAGCGAACGGAGTAAAACGTTCAAAGCACTACATTGTTAGAACACCTCATTCATCTCAAGCGATTTTGGACGCACAACAACATTCTATTTCGTATACGCTGACCAGAAATCAAGCTGTTATAGTGGAGTATACGCCTGATGAAGAAACCGACATGTTTCAAGTAAGTTACGACAAAAAGCAAAGTTAAAATTTTTATTTTACATGTCTCTAAGCAATGGTGTATTGATTGTTTTAGATTGGTAGATCTTCTGAAACCCCAATCGATTTTGTCGTAATGGATACGATTCCTGGCGATAAAACCGGGGAGAATAAGGTGACTCAAAGCACGATATCGCGGTTCGCATGCCGGATATTGGCCGATAGAAACAATCCGAAAATAGCTAGGATATACGCTGCAGGTTTTGATACGTCGAGAAATATTTTTTTAGGGGTAAATTAAAAATTTATGATTTAGAATTTCATTTGTATTTGTTTTAATTACAACTTACTCTATTTAATTTTTTGAATTTTCAAAAAGGAGAAAGCGACAAAATGGCATGATAATGGCTGTGAAATCGATGGTTTAACAACGAACGGCGTTTTAATAATGCACCCGAAAGGATTATTTTGTGGTGGTGAAGCCGAGTGTGGTTGTTGGATTGAAACGTCCGTTGGCGGCGGGGTTTATTCGTTAAGAGAATCAAGATCGGCACAAAAAAAGGGACAAATGGTTAGTTCAAAAATATGGTTGACCTTTTAAACATTTTATTTTCTTGTTTAGATGAAAGATCAATCGAATATTTTACAAGATGGCACTTTAATAGATTTATGTGGTGCTACGTTGTTATGGAGATCAGCTGATGGTTTGGAAAAGTCCCCTGTAAGTTAACTAAATCAATTCGTTTAATCGATTCGTCACGTCTTTAAAAAATACAATTAGTATAAAACGCAATGAAATAAAGACTGTGGAACGAATTCGATGGAAAGTTTGATCATCATTTCTTATTGCCTTTGTTTTTTTTTTATTTATGGTAGAGTAAACGTGATTTAGAAAAAGCTGTAGACGAAATAAACGCAGGAAGACCGCAATGTCCCGTTGGGCTTAATACTTTAGTTATTCCAAGAAAAGTGACAGGAAATGAAAATCAACAACAACCTTACGTATACTTAAATTGCGGCCATGTTCAAGGTCATCATGATTGGGGACAGGAGAAAGATTCTGGCGCTCGGAAATGTCCTATTTGTATGAAGGTAAATGATATACAGGGTGTATCTGAATGACTGCAACAAACTTCAAGGGGTGATTCTTTAGTGAATTTTAAGGGTACTTTCATATATGAACCATGGGCGACTTCGGCCTCCCTGGGGTGCTACGCCCCTCCAAAAATAGTGGAAAATTTTGGTTTAATTTTTTTTTCTCAAAAACCATAAACGCTAGGAATTTGAAATTTGGGGAATATGTTTAACTCATAATAGGGCACGTTTTGACCCTGTTTGTACACTCGTGATCTTTTTAAATGAAAATTAAAGAAGGATGGCTAGCTCGGAGTCGGGGACGGTCACTTTGGGGACGGTTACTTTGAAACCCGGCGCACAGTGGTCCGAGCGGTAAGAAAACCCGATCGAAAATATTATTTTGGTGTTAGCAATTAGCTAGCTTTATGAAACTTGGCATATGATTATAAGACCAAAAGGGTAATGTTGTGTCAAAATTTGAATTAAATTCGTCAACCGGAAGTAGTACTANAGTCCAACTATTAATACGGTGTGAAAAAGTAATGACAATTTCTTTTATAGAAACATTTTTCTTAAGGAAAATGTAAGAAAAGTAGTACAGTTTAGGGTTAACCTCACAAAAGAAATTAAAATACTAGAAAAAACAACAATTTTATTCATAACGTATGTGCTCCTCTGGAATTTCACGCGATCTAGTATTCGTTTGAACAGGTAATGACTTATAAAAGTTGTGGTAGTTTATTAGGAACAATTTTTATTTGTTTTCCAAAAATCATTTTTTAATAAAACATAATACATTAAATAATTTATTATGCTATTTTCGATAATTTAATCGAATATTTAGCTGGTTTCTATTACAATAAACCTATTTAAAAATCCCGTAGTGACAAATTCTAAATTACTCCTTCTCTACCTGCTTTGGCCGTCGTGATTACTCCGGCCCCTTAGCCTTGCGCAGGGTTTCAAAGTAAACCAACCCGACCTTCCCCGACTTCGAGCTAGCCATCATTCTTTAATTTTCATTTAAAAAGATCACGAGTGTACACATACCATGTATTCATTTAGATTAACTATTTTTTCTTTTAAATTAAAACAACTTTTTACACTTTTTACAATCTTTTATTATTATTAATTTACAATCTATAACTGACAATGTTTATATACTAAACCATACATAAAGAACAATCCTTTCTTGCCGATGGTGGACCATCAATATGCGTTTCCCAATGAGGCAAATTATAATGTTCAAAACAGGGCAGCTTGCTTTGTAATCGCTCATCGTTTCTATNCCCAACTGAGGTTTATGGTATTCAAAAAATATTTCTTACAAACTAAAGTGCTTTTATCTTTTAGATCGAGATAATATTCAAAAGTACGTGACTGAAAGCCTCTACTTCCATCCCTAATACGAGATCTTTGTGGTACTTTGATCTTTATAGCGCCTCGTAGAAATGTATTTTGCTTTGAATAATAATCTTTAAGCTTCCAAAATGAAGTGAAAAACATTTCGCGCTGCTCTTCTGTCACTTTATCTTTACATTTCGCTGGACACTTGCAATCATACTTCTGTTTAAATCAGCCATGTCCAACCCAAATTACTCTTCGGGCCAAAATTTAGGAATGTACAAGGCACTGGGCCGCCACCCACCTGAACAAGAAAATTTCAATTCTAGCGCACACTCGCGCTCAAATGAGATACGTATACACAAACTAGCATGTACACAGATATNTTCTAGTTCAATAAAAAAACAAAATATAAGTGGTTCCATTTAAAAAAACCTAAGTTGTGTTTATAACTCAAAAACCGTGATGTCTAGAAAAATTCTACGTGCATCATTGGATTCTACGTGAAAAAATCTATTAGAACCCGTTTTACTTTTTTACTAAGTTTCCGGATAGCCGAGATACGGGGGGTGTCTGAAAATCGTACATCTTGAAATACTCCCTGTATATCAAAAACGAAAAGGTCTATGAAAATTTGGTTTGTGGCATTGTAAGTTTCACAAAAAAGTAGCTCAGGTTCGCGAAAACCGCAACTTTCTATCTTTCATAATAACTGAGATACCCTGCAAACCCATCGAAATTTGGACATCCTGTACATGAAACATTTTTGTCAGGTGAATACATTTTGTGTGTTGACAGTTTCTAATTGTCAATTCCAATTTCTATTTTCAAGTGTTACGGTCTTACCAACTGCTACATATTTCCCTACATTGACAAAATTTATTTTATATTTGAGAAAAAAAAGGATAAAAACGCGAATTACAAAAAATAGCATAAAAAACACGTTTCATAAGACTTAAAGCACTCATTCATTAAAAAACCGGTGGCTTCGCCACTCGTTTTTCAACTTGAATTCGTGCATTTCAAACGTGTTTTACGAAACTTGTTTTTTAATATACTATTATTTAATTGTAACAATAACAAAACATGTCTATCAACACACTAAAGAAACATATGTTATTTTAACCCAGTTGATTTGAAAACAGGTTTAATTCTTATTTTCTACATTACACTCAGTTGAAGAAGTGGTGAAAATGACCGACCCATTAACTGACGTTGTTGATGTTCAACACGATGGAGATACTGTTGGTTCATCCAGTTCTCGTGATGATGAACAAGATGCTCTTCGTAATTTCATCGACCAATACGAACTATTCCATGTAGTCCTGTAGGATATATACAGGATGTTTCTAAATTGTAAGGGAAAAAATCTGTAACTTTCTTATGTCTTGACATTTTACAACTAACAAATTGTTAGTTTGATCATAAAAAGTCAAATAATGCTGAGATCAACTTGACATAACTTCTTTTCTTTGACTTCTGAATTAATTCACTTGAGACTGTGTATTATTTTATTTTTTTGTGATCAAACTAACAATTTTAGGAGAAAATGTCAAGAGACAAAAAAGTTGCGTATTGAATTCCTCAAATCTATAGAATGTAATAGAAAAATGTGGTTGCTGGGGACATCATGACAGAAAACTTCAAGCCTTCAAAATTTCTTCCTTTGGCCAAATACCTCAGGGTTAAGGTTAATCTTTCCCTAACACTTATACTTTCTCTCATATTGCTATCCTGTCTTTTCAAAAATGGTTTAACCATCTCTAACAGTTTGTTAAAGGTACTTTCATCCATTCGAAAATAGTTCTTGAAATCATCAACATCGCAGAGCCTGATTTCTTGCAACAGTACTAGATGAGAATATTTATCTCTCTTCTTCAACCATTCTTTCATCCAGTATTTGCATTTACACTCGACGAGTAGTTCCAAGCACCAAAATAATAGCTACGCAAGCTTTTTTTGTACGATTATCCATATTTGGAAGAGAAATACCGGCAAATAACCGAGTAAAACTACGTAGATTTGTCCTGTTCGTGGTAAAAAGGTAACTTATTGAGCAAACTTATTGTCAGAAGTATTGTCAATACTATTGATTGTGTAAGGGCCGCTTTATATCCGAAATTTGGGGCCATGGTACGCTAAAAATGGATTCGCTTAAGTATGTGAGGTTGGGACAGTCACAAACAATATGGCTTACCGTCTCGTCTTCTATTTCACACGCTCTACAGAGGTATTTGTCAGCTTCATGTGGAACATGTGCTTACGTAATCTGCAGTGTCCGGTCAGGAAGTGGGTTAGTCACTTTTTGNCTTTTCTAGTTCAACATAATGGTTTTCTGACATAAATTGTTCAGTTTTGTTAATATATGTTTCTTTATTTAATATTACAATGCCAGCCCCTTTGTCAGCTTTTGTGAATGTGGCATTATTTTCGTTTAATTTATGTTTGATGTTTTTCAAAGTTTTCCATTGTTGAATCTGAGATAAATTATATTTTTTAATATTTTTTTTTTCTGCCTTTTTAATGTGTGGTATTAGGTCGTTCTTTATTTTGTTATATTCGGGCTGTTTTCTAATTATATTATCTAATTCAACAGTTAAGATAGGTAAGTTAATTTTTGGGATTAAAGAAAATTTGTAACCTTTATTTAAAAGATTTGTTTCTTCCTCTGTGAAGTTAATGTCAGTTAAGTTCTGGAACTGGACATTGTTCTTTGGTTGGTCTGTTGGATTAGTTTTCACTTTGGCCATTGTGTTTTGATTTTTCTTCAAAATTTGCAGTTTTAGATTTTTACGTCTTTTATCTTCTCGTTTTATGTGCAGTGTCTGTGTTGTTATAAAATTTAAAACTTCCTCAATTTCCAAGAAGTGCAATCGTTCTCTTAGACAACGGTTGATTTTAGCAAACAATTAAGTGTCTTAAAATGTTTTCGTTTTTCTTCACGTAAAATCTTTTTATGTATGAAGTTCAAAGTTGACATTTTTATGTTTTTACAGTTCACCTTAGCAAAATTTGGAATGATATTCTCCTTGATGCAGCAATTAATGAAATTTATATGATTCTTTGTAGTTTCCAATTTTATGTAGATTTTTAAAAATGTTATTTATATGCTCTCTGTGATGTTGATTTTATTTTTTATTGACCGTAAGTTCTATAAGAATTTTAACTTTTAATTATTAAATTGTAATTAAAATATAATTTGTAGATTCGGCTGAAGATGACTAAGTAAAACTAGTCGAAACCGGTTCCGTTAAAATAAATTGAATTTGCAAGATAAGAAGTTATATTTATTTGTTTATTATTTTAATATTTAAACGAAACTTGCAACATGGATATCAACAGTTCTGATTTAGTTCATTTAATTTAGTTGTGATATCTATTAAGAAACACAAATCCAACAACCATTTTTCATCGTATAATTGTGGAACGTCTTCGCCGTTCTCATTCATGAAAATTCTAATTTCTTCCCTGAGGTTCCAAAATCTTAATAAACATTTTCCACGACTCAACCATCGTATTTTGGCGTAATATATTAGGTCACAGTACTCGGACTCCAGTTCGCGAAGGTATTCTTGAAACTGGCGGTGTTTTAATGAATTATTTTTTATTTTGTTAATAATATTAATGACAACTGACATCACGTGAGACATATTTAATGACTGAGCACATAGATTTTCTATATGTAAAAAACAATGACAAATCAATAAATCCAAAAATGATGTATTTTGTCCCAAGCTTTCAATATGTTTGCAAATTAAAGTAACTGCTCCTATGTTCTTTCCTATCATTGATGGTGCTCCATCGGTTGTAATACCAATAAGTTTTTTTAAATCTAATTGTCGATCTTCCGCGCATTTTAGAACAGCATCGTTAATATCTTTGCCCGTTGTTGTATCCTTCAGACTCACAAGATCAAGGAGTTCTTCTGTTACTTTCAGCTTATTATCAACTCCGCGAATAAATATAGCAAGTTGTGATGTATCCTTGATATCGGTTGTTTCATCCAAAGCTAATGAGTAGTACACAAATTGTTTGGTATGTTCATTGAGGTTTAGGGAAATTTCATTGGAAATATCATCAACTCTACGTGCAACAGTTTGATGAGACAGACTTATTTGTTTATAAATATGAACTTTTTCCGGGCTAATATCTNTTAAGTATGCGAGGTTGGGACAGTCACAAACAATATGGCTTACCGTCTCGTCTTCTATTTCACACGCTCTACAGAGGTATTTGTCAGCTTCATGTGGAACATGTGCTTACGTAATCTGCAGTGTCCGGTCAGGAAGTGGGTTAGTCACTTTTTGATTTTCCCAGGAACTGAGTAGATCTCTTTCGATCAGGGTAGAGCAGAGTTTTCTTTGCAAAAACACTTACTGCAGTCTCATCCCATCTATCGCAAAAAGGTCCCTGGGAGATGGAGTTGATCAGCTTTGGTGCTGTATTAAAAGTTAGAGGTATAAACGGTTCAGGAGAGATTCTTAGTTGCCCGTTTCACCAACCTGTCATATAGTCATATAGCCAGTCTGCTATTGATGCAGATTACAACGTTTCTGCCAACTTTTGACATTGGCGGAAAGGTGTAGCTAGAGATCGTGCGAAAAAATTCCCTCTCCAGAGTCTCCAGCCTTCTTTGATCCATCAGTGTAGATGGTCAGCGTTTTGGCCGTGCTTAAGTTGCTCTGGAGTATCGTTTCAATGCCGAAGTGTGGCCTGTTTAAGAAAGTAGGTGTGATGTAGTCTGCTCGAGCTTCAAGGACTTTTCCCATTTTTGCAACCTGCATTTGGCCACCTCATTAATGCTTGTGTTATTATATGGGTGTGCATAAATAATTATATTAATTGAAATTATTTTTGGTTTTGTAGAATAATTGTAGGGGCGCGATTTCAAAAACATAACAATCTTATACATATACAAATAAAAGAAGGAATTTTAGGTCCGTATTTAACAATTAATGAGACTCAATGGGTAAAGATTGAAAATTTTAAATACAACGATCGATTGATACATCAAAACCAAGATTTTATACAAATATCTATGAATAAAAGATCAATACATTTAGGAGCTGCTAAATTATCACACGTTGATAATAACTATATAAATATTGAAAATTATGTATTGACAGGTACGCACAATTTTTTAATTTAAAAAAATTACACAATTATATTTTATATTAGTTTAATTTATTTTTTAGGAGTGAGATTTCACGAATGGCAGGGTTTTCTTTTACTGCAAATTCGTTGTACTCGTTTTGATTTAAAGAGCGGAGACCTCATTGCAAATGGAAGCGGTTGGTACGATGTTAACAGCTGGCCGAGGTAAGCAAATAATTTATTTTATTGCTTTTAATATTTATTTATTTATTTTAATTATTTGTACAAACAATAGCAACGAAATCGAAATTAATAATTCTGATATACCAAGAGATGGAGGTACCTCAAAGATTGTAAGTAGAGGAGATAATCAGTTTGTATCATTTACACACTCTTCTTTTGAAACGGATTTTGCACAAACTACCGTCCCATTTTTTGACGCTCAAGAAGTTGTTTCAAGTAGTCCTTTACACGGAATGGGAATTTACTATAAAAGAGAATTGAAGAATGGTAATCGCAAATCTGGAGGATTTCTTGGCATTAAATTATTTACATATGACTACAAAGATCATCTAAGAAAGCTTACAAATTAGCTTATCATTTAAAATGTTTAATAATTATTTATCAAAGTGAGAGTAAGGAAAATAAAACTAACAATGTAACATAATAAATTAAAATACCATAAAACTGGTGGTCTTACTTTAGAGATTATCTAAAAGGAAAAACTAATAATTAAAATGCTTGAATTAATTTTTATTGATTCATTTAATATTTAAACAAATTAATTGAATTAATAACTTTGTCTTCATATTATACATTAAAATCGTCTTTACTTTCCTAAATAAACAACGGGGTAATGATAAGGGTAATAATAAGGATAATAATATGGATAATAAGCACTTTCTGATCCTTCCAATGCCTCTTTTGGTTCATCAGGACTTTGTGGTATACTAAAAAAGTGACATTAATAAATGCATATTTCAAATCTTAAAAACTTACGCCCTAACAACCCTCATTTGATCTTTTTCCATGGGAGATATTGGTCTTGGTGGTATGATACGACCAAAAACACTTACAAAGAGAACACATAAAGTGAAAATCTAAAATCAAATATAAATTAAAATAAATAAATGTTAAAAATGAAAACTTACCAAGAGTTTCATGGTGAATGCTTGAAAATTGAAAATGAAACTGGTAATGAACCATGTATCATGTACATGGTTTATTTATACTACCCGATCGAACGATCTTATTAGGAGTGGATCGTGATCGGCATATCCCCCGCGCAATGACAATGCGAATGTAAATTAATTTAAAACAATTAGCATTATAAGACGATACGGCGTTTGCGCCTCTGGCATATGGATTGCATCTTTTACCGTTCCCATTCACCAGTCAACTCAAATTAATGGCCCGGAGTTACAATATAATAAAAGGTGTAAACGTTTTGATGACTAACCCAACTAAATTTAGGCTATGTTAACTAATCAATGATATCTATGAATAGCATGATTATACAAGAATTTTAATAGTTAAATTAAACGCTTTATTTAATGGGCAGGAAAAAAAGATGAAGACAAAAAGTTATGTAATAATTTGCATTGACCTTGATTTAAAATTTATGTCGATCAAGCCGTGTTAGAAATGAACGTTAATCATTATTAATTATTATGGTATTAGAAATATATCAATCTTAATGTATCGCCTCTACATTTTTATTTCTAATTTCCATAAAAAGTGTCAATACAAAGGATATTCTTTTCTGTATGAAGAACTAACGTTTTAAAGCAGTTATAGTTTCATCATTGATTCCTTCTCTGTTTATGATTTCACTGCTTTTATTAGTTTCACGTTTATATTGAGTTTTTTCCAAAGCTTAGCAAAGTTACACAAATCGTGAAGATGCAACTCTTGGTTTAGAGCATATTTTTTACTTATTACTTGAGTGATTGTAAATAAGTAGCTCTGAATCCTGCATCTTCCTTTCTTGATTCTCGTTTCACTATACTCTTATATAAACTAGGATTTATGTAAAAGTAAAAACTTTTTTGAGAAATATTAAAATGTTTTAATTCTATTTAAGTAGACATGTTTCGAAAACTAATGTTTCATCTTCAGTACCTAAATTTATGAAAAAGAAGAAACAAATTAAACAAAGGTTAACCGGAACGTATTAATAACGGTAAAATGAAAATCGGAATTTGAAAAGGTGAACTTACATAGAAAAATTATACAATATAATGGNAGCACATGTTCCACATGAAGCTGACAAATACCTCTGTAGAGCGTGTGAAATAGAAGACGAGACGGTAAGCCATATTGTTTGTGACTGTCCCAACCTCGCATACTTAAGCGAATCCATTTTTAGCATACCATGGCCCCAAATTTCGGATATAAAGCGGCCCTGACACAATCAATAATATTGACAATACAACTATTTCAATACTTCACTACCTTACACGATCAATATTATTGTCAATACTTCTGACAATAAGTTTGCTCAATAAGTTACCTTTTTACCACGAACAGAATAAATCTACGTAGTTTTACTTGGTTATTTGCCGGTATTTCTCTTCCAAATATGGATAATCGTACAAAAAAAGCTTGCATAGCTATTATTTTGGCGCTTGGAACTACTCGTCGAGTGAAACGCAAACATTGGATAAAAGAATGGTTGAAGAAGAGAGATAAATATTCTCATCTAGTACTGTTGCAAGAAATCAGGCTCTGCGATGTTGATGATTTCAGGAAATACTTTCGAATGGATGAAAGTACCTTTAACAAACTGTTAGAGATGGTTGAAGCATTTTTGAAAAGACGGGATAGCAATATGAGAGAAAGTATAAGTGTTAGGGAAAGATTAGCCTTAACCCTGAGGTATTTGGCCAAAGGAAGACATTTTGAAGGCTTGAAGTTTTTTGTCATGATGTCCCCAGCAACTATCAGCAAAGCTATAATAGAAACCTTTTTAATGCGTCCACATTTTTCTATTACATTCTGTGGCGAACATCTGGACGCCAGAGAACTTTTTAAACCGTTCAAAAAAATCTCTCTCCGGTCATCTGGGCAGGACACCCTTTTGGTCCAGGCAA